CCCCTCCCTATGTTTGTAAAAACAGTTTATTAGCGAAATCGAAAACGTCATGAATTACCAATATTGAGTGAGAGTAGCAGGTGAGAACCCTAGCAGGCTGCTCCATTCTCCAGATTTTCTGACTACTGAATAGAATCGAACTGAACACGGTCACATGATTGTTCTGGCTGCTTTTACCCAAGTTACTTGGCCAAGTAGCAGTGTAGCACTTGAGGCTGATGCACCTCTTTGGCCACTGTTGGTCTTTGGCTTGTCTCCTTTGCAGACGTTCTTGCACCCTCCCAAACACGCTCCCCTCCCAAACACGCTCCCCTCCCAAACACGCTCCCCTCCCAAACACGGAGCGTTTTTGGGAGGGGAGCGGAAGTAGAGAGCGAGGTTGACGTTCTAATTGCTGCAAAGTACCCTTACTTACGAAATTAGGGGCGGACCATTAGAAATCCCGGGAGGCGGGTATAATATTTTTGCGGCACGATTTGTTTTTTCAGTCTCATGTCTCTGCAGGATTTTTTTTATGCATTTAACCTCTGTAAGAATTTTTTTTCAAGACTATTTGCAAGGACTATTTGCACTTTGCTCATTTTGCTTGCACGATTTTTTTTTCTGACGTAATGGCTGCGCGAACCTTTTTTCTTTGCACGAATTTTGGGGGAATTTTCAAGATTATATCTAGATTTGGTCAAGATCAAAGAGGAATACCGATGTTGCCAAATCTCAATGACCCCCGCCACACACACACAAACGGATTCTGGAATCTGGACTCACGATTGTCGGTCATCAGGGCGATCATTATCATTTTTATCATTTATCAAGTTCAGGGGATCGAGTTGGCATTTGGCAATGAATTTGACAGTTATTGCCGTAAAACTTTAATGCATAGTTGAAAGGTTCCCACCTGCCAAGGAAGATAATTGCACACTGAACGGTATGTAATTTTAACTCATTACATTCACTCCACATGTCCATACCACCTGCACAATATTGCTAGCCAGATATTTGTAAATACGTCTTTTAGAATTTGTTGAAAGAAATTTCTTCATATGTAAATACGGTCTCGAATACGGTTTACCTCGATGTATTATTGATCGAAGAAGAAGAGCTTTGATCATAAATCGGTCGTGTACGATAAAAGAAACGGCGATGACTATGAGAGACGAATGACATTCAATAATTCTGTGTACAAGAATTTTATTTTTATTTTATTGACTTATTTATAAATGTGATTATAATTTGTTGGCCACAAGAGCTATTTGGCGCTGATTAGAATTTAATGGAAATGCTTCGTTCATCCGTATATTATTTGTGGTTTTATTTCATCTTATTGATAATTTGCAAGAGTGGCCACTGTGAGAGAACGTTGATTAATTATTTGGCCAAAGGCAGAAATAAATCTGTTCCAATTTCAGCTCTGACTGTGTCCGATTCGTCTTGTCCTTCTCGAGGTAATAATTGCTCGTTTTGCCTTAGTGATGGTAATTGTGGATTTTGTGATACATGTAAGGATATATGTCATCACCCTGAGGCTGCCGGCAGTCCAAATTGTTCGAACTGTGCTAGATGTATCCCAGGAGCACTTGATGGACCAAAGAAAGGACATGAATGTAGAGTGGAATGGTAAGTGACACTTAGGGGGGCCTTGTTTTCTAGTAACACAATCATTTGCACAGGTTTTCTAGTAACACAATCATCCCTTGATGCTCTTGGAGAAAATGTCTGTAATAAAATATGTTTAAATAAAAAAAGAGTACACCTGCCCCTCCCCCCCCCCCTAAATATGTTGCTCCTCCTCAGAACTTTTCCAACCTCACCTAGAGAAACTTGTACCCTCGCCCACCCCCAGAAATTTAAATGCTCATTGGATTAAATAAATAGTGCTGTGATTGAAACAAGGATTTTGAACTAAATAAGCTAGACCACCGGCTTCAACCATGCTTCCAGGCCCCTTCTGCAGCTTGCTCGGTGGTGCTACATGCTCCCTCACTCACCTCCCACTCTGAATTTTTGGCACCCCCAGAACAAAATCTGAAAGACTGTATATGTCCAAAAGTGAAGGGGTTGCGGAAAATATGACATTGCACCTTGCACAACCTAGAATGTGCTGTGCTGAAAATATTGCTACACGATAAGACCAGATGAATTTGCACAAGGGATAAAAGGATCGCACATTAGAGGGGTTTGGGGGGGGGGGGTTAACCCCGAAATCACAAAGTAGAAAATTACAAAAGGTTGGTCCCAGTTTTCTTTGAGACTGTATCAAAAGTCGGTACCAATTTTCTGGTATAAGAGTTATTTAATCCACATAAATTTGTGTTGTGGAAAACAAGGAAGTCAATGTTGAATGTGCACCACTGGATAGCCTAAAGTGCAGTGTTGTTTAGATTATCATAAGATACTGTTTATTAGTACAGAAAGCCACACCCGCAAACCTCCACCTACATAAAGAATATTGCCATGTTGCATATTGAGTGATCCTTACTTGACCATACATTTGTGAATTTTAGTCTTGTGGAAAGATTATCTCCCGTCCAATTTATGTACATATCATTACTGATTGCATGATCCCAGTTGACAAATATATGCATATTAAATTTGAAATAATATTGCACACTAATAAGAACTCAATCTGACCTGGCAGGAATCATCTTCATTTTATAAATCGGGTACTAAATATTTAAATATATTGTTATTTATAATTATACAATAATTATAGCTTATATTATATACTTATATCGCTCCTTAATTCATACACCTCTCTAATAATATGGACATCTCTCTAATAATATCGACACCTCTCTAATAATATGGACACCTCTCTAATACACAGATGGACAATCTCTCTGATACGGACACCTCTCTAATACAGACACCTCTCTGATATAGACACCAGTCTCTACTATGGAAATGTCTCTAATATGGACATCTCTCTAACACACTTACACACAGCTAACTCTCTAATACTGACACCTCTCTGATATGGACAAGGCTGCCTAGAGGTTGCGCAGGGCCTGGGGAAAAACTTGCCCATGGTGGCCCAATGATGAATAATTGTAAAACGGGAGAAGCGGCATATACATTGCACTATATTGCATATTGTCTGGCACTAATGCAGCTAGGATTGATCTTCTCAATTAAGCCATTCTCGTACCCAGAGCCCTTCTTACGCGTGGTGCGATTGGCTAGTTCTAACACCGGACATTGTTTTCTTACCATGTTTTTGTGGTATCCGGTTATGGATTTGACCAGAGCCCCTTGTCGCACCGCACATAAGAAGGGCTCTGGGTACGAGAATGCAATTAAGCAATCTTGGGACCGCTCATTATTTATTGTACAGGGGGGGACTGAGCAGAAACTCTATATACAGTTATAATATTTTTTCGTTGCCCCCCTCTTAAGACAAGTAAGACAATTTTCAAAGCCCCCTCCAACAGGAAAACAAGAACATAAATTTTGGAGGCCTCCTCCCCTTTCAAACTGGTAAATCCCCCCCCCCCTCTTCTTTTGTCTCACTGTATTTTTCCAAAGCTCCCTTCAGGTTTAAAAAATTTAAAGCCCCTCCCCCCAGTTTCTCCTCAATCCCCCCTGTACAATAAAAAATGAACAGTTCCTAAGGTGCATAGTGCATGGCTATGTCTGCGCCCACTGCATCTTAGACAATGTCATGTAAATTTGTGGTAATTTGATGTAATTTATTTCCAGGTTTTATTACGAAAAATGTCCAGAAGTAGTAAATGAACAGAAGACAGTATATGTTGAGATTGCTCTCTATCTAATTAATATTCATTCAGTTGACCTTAAAGCTGGAACTTTTCATGCAGATTTTTACCTGTATTTTAAAGGTAATGTGTCTTATTGGGTTGTATTAACTGTAATGTCATTGTGTCATAAGAAACTTTATGTGCCAAGTAATAAATACTGATAGGCTGTGATACATGATATTTATAGCAGTAAAATGTTTGAATTGGGAGAGGTACAATTGTATTCCCTTGCACATTCCAATAAACTGTGTACTGATCTAATAAATTCATCCTTGTCCCCAGGCCCATGCTCACACAGCCTGTGGACGAGGGGTGTAGCACATCTCCCTTATAATTATCATGGGACCAGGACCACTCTCATCAACCATGTTGTTAGCTACATATTCATGAATCCCTCGATAAAGATGGTTATTCATTCATTCACGTTAGCACTGTATAGAATATTTTTGTCTTGGGATAGTCCAATTCGTGAATAAAAGTGGTCTTGTGTAAATAAAACGGGATTTATTGGAGAACGAGGCAGATCTCTTCAGCGCTAATAATTGGGGGGGTCGTAATTGATCCTTATCATGTTCATTTAGTTCCAGATGGTCAGACAAAATACACTAAACAGAAATGTAAAGATGGTCCAAAAGGAGCTTGTTTTGAGCTAGTCAATGCTGCTGGTCAGCCCGAGGTATCGTCCAAAGTATTGCAGTCGAACCCGTATTAATCAGACACCTTTGGGACCTCACTGATGTGTCCTCTTAGAAGAGGTGTCCGTTTGATAGGAGTTTGCTACAGTGAACACAGCATGAGATAACCCCAAGTAATAGTATACTGTAGGAACAATAGTGATCAAAGGTGGACGTTTGGTTACGTTTCAACACTGAGAGGGGCTGGTTACGGTGTTCAAGTTTCGAGTTTTTCTTGCAATTAGTTGATTAGTTTGTTTAACTAAGAAGATTATACACAGTCACGTATTTGTACAGTGTAGCAATGCTGTTCCAACAACTTGTCAACAAGATGTGTTCGCACCGGTTGTTCCCATCTTGCTGACGAGTTGCTACAAGGTTGTTGAGCCCAACAGACTTGTTACAAGTTGTTCCAACAACTTGTTATCGTCCTGCAATTAGCTTTTCTCACAAACGCCAAAATCCGCTATTTTTGGGGTACTGTCTGTCCTCGTGAAAGATTGTGAAAAGCGACTTTTAAGAGTTGTAACTGTAACTGTAAAGTTACCCATTATACAAACAACTATACAATACTAAAAAGTTGTATTTCGTGGTGCGAAATATTGTTGTTGGTTAAGTAATACAGTAGCATTGTTACAACATGACTTTTTTGTGTTGGTGTTGTGTACTCAGGTGAATATGATATTTGTGATGTTACTCTGAGTGTGTATCCAAACCGGGCAAGCTTGAAAAATATGCCTGGCCACGGTGGGAATCGAACCTGCGACCTTTGGAATACTAGCCCAATGCTCTGCCAACTGAGCTACGCGGTCAGACCGGTTCGAGTACAGTATGTGATATTTCGGAACTGAGTCTCGTTCCTTCGACATCAATGTAACATGTTGTTGTCAAGTTGTCAGATTTTTACATGTACGTGACTGTGTTCAAGTTATCAAAGTTGTTTTAATACTGCGCCCTGATTCTACTCACCTCTCAGAGAGTTTTGTAAATTGTCGGATACAATTCTATACGAGGAACAAATCTGAAGGGATAGTGGGCACAATGGTCACACGGTGAAAGGCGAAAAATTTTGGGGTTCAGGACTGAATTGGGCGTCAAACCTGTATTCACACTTAATTTATTTCTTTTAGGTCTCCAGTCATGAAGGGAAATATTTTCGCGTCAAGGCAACATTTAATTTTGCTGCAGATTTAAGAGATTATCCGTATGTGTTCAGCTCTGTGCTTATGACAAATTTTTCTTTGATAAGTTTTAGCTATATACCATTTCTATATCATTGTAACCTCATATCTTCTATGTTCGATATCACTGTATGTAATAAAATAGTGGACTGATTTTCCTGACATGAGATTAAACAGACTTCACAGTACTAAAATCGTCTTTCATTAAAAATAAATTTGAAGATAAAAATAAAGTTCTCTGTCACACACACGTGACTCTAAACCCGAGCATGCAAAAAAATGAAATAATCTAAATCATTTTTGAAGGTATGATAACCAAACATTACGTATTGTAATTCAAGATATGGAAATGGCTGCTAAGGAATTACGATGGAAACATATGCAAGTAAGCAGAATTCCGTTTGCGTGGCGACAAGTATTAATAATAATAGACAAATTTGACCAATGACAATGTTTTTTGCATCGTTGCTACCCAATGGACAATTCCAGCTATAGACGGTTGCAAAGTTTGGTTGCGAAATGTTGTAAAATGCGGAAAATATAGCCCTGCAAAATTCGAACATTTTGTATTAATTTGTATTATTTACGCACGGGAATTTGCACCATTTGAGTTGAGCCGAAAGTACTGAGCTTTTTAACCTAACCCTGATCCCAACCCTGACCCGAACTTTTCCGACCAATCTTCGGTGTGACGTCACTAGTGAGTGCAGAATAATTTTACCTCCACAAGAGGGAAGAGCCTGGGAACGAGGTTGAATAGTTTTCCCTTAAGTACAGGGTAACAGGCCATCTCCGAATGACGTTCTAATTGTCAAGAACAATAGCGGCAAGTCTGTGGTCATTCTACCGTAATTGTGGATGGATAGTGGATACTGTCATATACATGTCTATTGTTTTTTTTTTGTGGAAAAACCATCATTTGACAGTTGACACATCTCTCGATTCGTGATTTCAGATCTTTACCAATTGAAATATTGCTTGCACTGAATTACTCTAATGTCTAAATTCCACTTTAGTACTAAATCAATCTTAGTTATCTGATATTAGACTCATTATTTTAGCGGTATTTTTATCATTTACAAGAAAATAATTCTAGTCAAGCCGTATTCATTACTTCATGTAGGGAAATCCTGATGGTCAAGATTTCAAGTTTCGCAGTGGTGTGTCTCCAATGTTAAATTACACAGGCTGGTTGTTTGATACGAATTCCTGGTCTCAGATGGTTTATGAAAGGTAACATTATAAAGTTAAAATTATATATTTTTCTTGTCATTCATTTAAAATAGAGTTTAGTTTAGTTTAATGAATATAAGTTATAACAATCAACATGAATATGTTCTTGAAAACCGGCTTATAGAATTTGCAAAAAAGCATGTTAACAGTGCTCAAAGCTTTCTATTAAATTAATGTACACATGTACATATTATAGGTATATTTATATTCATATATGGTTAAGCTCATTGTACGGGATACTCCCAATGTTTGCTTCGAAACATACTTTACCAAAAGATATAAAAGTTTTCTTTCTTATATAGATACAATCCTTTCCTTGATCAAGGAGTTTCCAGATACGAATTCTTTTTTCATATGAGAAGACATAAACGAGCAGCGTTTTTTAAAATATTTCTTCCTCCACTTTTTATAGTTTTAGTGGTAAGTTTATGTTTTTGTGTTTTATTCCTCTTTCGTGGATACAATTTGTGTGCATAAATTGTGAAACTCATTAATAATTCTTAAAGAAAACACGAAAGAAATCATGAGCGTGAAGGAGTTTGTATATCTGATAGAAAATCATGCTGATTTTCATAAACTTTAAGTTCAATTTTCTCACCAAATATAATTTATTTTAAATTGTTGAAGAATACGAATGGTCTCATCAAGACATTTCACAAGCCATTTACAACATTCGCGTCTGTGTTGTACCGGATAAACAAAGTCGAGCCGAAGGCAAGCTCTCGTGTTGTAAATATACTTAAACCATGGTTTTATTACATCTCAAATCTTTGATTTTCTGATCTCAATCATAGTCGCATAGAATGAATCACGAACCAATGTTTTAAAAATTAAAAACTAACCACCACTGGAGAGCTGAATTCAAACATAAAATATTTAGTTTTTTCATCTGGGTCTTCATGGTTCAATCTTAGTCTGATCTGATGTACAGATATATCAATTTAGCTACAGTTTAAAACATACCCGTCTATTTATAGGTCTGTTTTTCATTTTCTATCCCACCAAAAGATTCTTCAATGAGATTATGGATTGATGGGTAAGTGGTTCATAAACATTTGTTGTACTGCCTATTGTTCAAATCTTCCCCTCGGCTTGCGTTGTCAAACTCTATTGAGAAAGAGCGGGGGGGGGGGGGCTTGCTTGAATGGGAAGCCTATAGGAGGAGGATACTTTAATTCTAAAAACTGAATTACCCTGCACGTTTAATTCTCTTCCGTAACAACAAAATATTTTGAACAAACATTTGAGACATAACATAAGTTGTTCTCACATTGTATGTTTGGACAGAACATCTTTTCTGTGTAGAAATCAAGTTCATGAATTCGAGATGAAATATTGTAGTGTTGTTGTTATCATAAACAAAAGATTAGGGTCTGGTATAGATAAGTGGAGTACGACGTCTTCTTCACGCATCTTTAGGATGGTATTAAATTTGTGCTTCACATACTTCACATGTAGGAGGGGGGTTATGGAGCGGGGGCTTAAGGGGAGAGAAGACAGTTCACAATGAATATAAATGTAAGTTAGATATCTTTTAATCGCCGTAGATCAGTAACGTGTAACTTTAATTTTGTTGAATTCATCACTCGGGTCTTTTTCTATTATCTAGATCGCTTTTGATTTCAGCCGTTATGTTTCATGCCACAACTGGGGAACAGACACCAGATTCACAGGTACAGTGTAATGCGGCATGACTCGTTGGATCTACAATCCTGGACAAAAGGTTGTGGACAACCCACAGAATTTGGCCTCGAAAGGCGTTTTCCCTAAATAATTATCCCCCCGCTCCCCCATGCCAATGTTGAATGGGATTTTTCATCAAATACGAAGTGTGGTTAAGTCGGATAAGCAACATTGAAGAGGGGGAGTGGGGGATATGCAAGTAAATTCAAGTTTTAGGTGTTTGTCATGATTTTTGCAAAAGTGGATTAAGTGTCCACATGAGTTTTGGCCAGGATTGTCTGAAAATCACCATAGAAAATAATAGACGGTTCTTGTATCTAATATGACACAAAAAGGCAAAAACTATGCTTTGTCAGTAAAATTGCGCTTGTTTGCATCTCAATAATCCATTCCTGACCATCTTTTGAAAAAAAAATTGTCCGGTAAAGACACAGATTTCCTAACCAAGAAACGCGCCCAACGAGCCTAATGTTTAGCAATAATTATGTGACGAGAATGACAGAGTATATATTGTACTAGTCTCAAGTTTGTTTATGCATTCCTGAAGTGCTTGAGAATCTAATTTATACAACTAAATGACATTTTTCATACAAGTATTATAATTCGTTAACTGCAAGTGTTGCCGCTTACGATATATGCCAGTACGTTTCTATGTTTTAACTATATATCACAGCTTCCTTCTGACAGTGCAATTTCAAGGTGCATCTAAAACTTGCTGAATACCATGTTTGACAGAAACCTATATGTACATGATTTAATTAAGGCAAGAACTAAACATCTGAATTATATTAAGTTACAGGGCTTTGCTATAGTTGTTAAGTTGATATGTTATACGTTCCCATCGAGTGACGTGATGTGTAACATAATATTCAAAGCTCGAAACACGGTCTACACTTTTTTTTGCAGTGATTTTAGAAGTATATAAGCGCGCAAACGATTAAAAATATAGATTAGAAGGCTTGTCCAATTACGTTTTGCACCAGTATGCAGCAAGACATATAAAATCAGCTATGCCTTAAAAATCGCCACGGTCTACACACCAAAATCGTATTTTCATGAATACTAATGAGCTATGATCTATTATATTCAAAGAGCTACTTTTAATATGTAGACCGTGGTAACTTTTTATTGCTTTACTGTGTAAATTATGAAAACATTTTAATAACAAGTACAATATGTAGGTAGTCTCCTAACAAAAAGATCGTTACATTTCAATGCAGTAATTGTGTATAATTCAAGTTCGAAGTTACTGTAGACCGTGCTATAGTTGGCGCACAGTATTCGAAAGTGTACGGCAATATTGCATTCTTTGACAAACTTCAATTGTAATATAATATTTACAAGTATATATAAGAGAATTGTGTGTATTTACTGGCCGTAGCTGTATCGAGTTCGCGTACCAGTTTATGATAGACATTTATCTTTGGAAATGCTACGAATCTTCAATGTCAAATTATATTGCCTTTCAAATGGCGAAAAAGTTTAACTTGATATATTTCATTCTGAGTACTGATGCTTTTTTATTTTGATATTGCAAGGTTCTAGATCTTGTCATTGGCGCGTAATATATTAGGGCTGTGTATAAAAATATAGGCTTTTCTTCAAAACTACAGGAGTCGTTAAAATCACTAAAAATATGCAAAAGTACAATAATTTATTCAATGGAATAAGGTAATTGCTACATAGCTTGAGACGTTCTGGAATCATACTGAAACTCCGTACAGATATGACACTGAAAATTTTCTGCACCGTCAATTTCTCTCCTACTGAAGCCTAAATGCGCTCCTGGGCTATGTATCTGAACAGTAAAGTCGGTGTACCTTCCATGTATAAGATTGAGAAAAAGTTATGCTAGCACCTATTCAGTATAGTTGGTTTTACGCACGCTTCCCACAAATTAGCTTATATTTACAACATCCGGAAGTGACGTAATTACTAATTGTGACGTCATCAGCTATCAAACTGTATAGCAAAAACTTAGAAAACATAGGTAAGTGTTATAGTCTCATCAGACATATCGAATGTTAACGAACAAGTGATAAAACAGCGCTTCTCCATGCTCATCATTTTTCAGACAATCCTGGACAAAAGGTTGTGGACAACCCCCAGAATTTGGCCTCGAAAGGCGTTTTCCCTAAATAATTATCCCCCCGCTCCCCCATGCCAATGTTGAATGGGATTTTTCATCAAATACGAAGTGTGGTTAAGTCGGATAAGCAACATTGAAGAGGGGGAGTGGGGGATATGAAAGTAAATTCAAGTTTTAGGTGTTTGTCATGATTTTTGCAAAAGTGGATTAAGTGTCCACATGAGTTTTGGCCAGGATTGTCTGAAAATCACCATAGAAAATAATAGCCGGTTCTTGTATCTAATATGACACAAAAAGGCAAAAACTATGCTTTGTCAGTAAAATTGCGCTTGTTTGCATCTCAATAATCCATTCCTGACCATCTT